ACCCTGACTGTCCTGGAACTCACTTTGTAGACCGGGCTGGCCTTGAACTCACAGAGATCCACCTGCCTCTGCCTCTGAAGTGCTGGGACTAAAGGAGAGTACCACCACCATCTGGGTGAGAACTTTTCTTTAAAAGTTCTCCGCCTCCCAAATGCTGGGATTAAAGGTGTGTGCCACCACGCCCAGCTCTGTTCTACTTTAAGGATACATCCCACCACTTCAGTATCAGCTAGGACTGCCACTGTCATCTGTCACCTGGATCTTCTCACCAGCACTGTGCTCTCACTAAGGTTCCCAGGGCAGCCAGCTATTCTCCCCATAGCATCTGGGTCCGTTTGAGATAGAAATTAGAACATGAAACTTCCTTGATCCAAACCAGCCTATGAATCCCATTCAGTGTGCTGCAAACACCTGGCACGATCCCCAGGTGTCCTGGCTCCCAACAACTTCCCTGAGCTCATCTTCTGTTCTTCGCACCGCTCAATAAAGAGCGCCACCAACACACTGGCCCCTGGCTGTCTTGTTCAGGACCCTGTTCCCTCACTTCATCCAAGCCTCTGCTCCTGCTTCAACTTATCACAGGGGCTTGCTCTTTTGAGTGGCTTTTGTTTTGTTTTTGAGACAGGGTTTTACTCTGAGATGCCAGCTGGCCTCCAACTCTGGGCAATCCTTCCTGCCTCAGCCTCTTTACGTGCTGGGATTATAGGCAGGAGCCACCATGACCAGTTAGAGGGGGATTTCCTTTTTATTTATTTTACATTTTACCTACTTACCTTGTGTGTATATATGGGCATAAGTGCCAAGGTATGTGAGTGGAGATCAGAAGACCACCTCTGGTATTTGGTTTTTTCCGTCCACCAAGTAGCTCTCATATAATAAATTCGGATCCTCAAAGTTGGTGGCAAGCACCTTTACCCATGAGGCCATTTTACTGGCCCATTAAATTTTTTTTAAACTATGTTTGATATTTTTATTTTATGTATATAGATGTGTTTCACATACATGTATGTCTGTGTACTGTATGCATATAGTGGCCATGGAGGCCAGAGAAAGGTACCGGATTCCCTGGAGCTGGAGTAACAGATGCTGTGAGCCATCATGTGAGTGCTGGGACTTGAACCCAGGTCCTCTGGATGAGCAGCTAGTGCTCTTAACCACTGAGCCATCTCTCCAGCCCCTAAAAATGTTTTTTTTTGACACATATTATATGTAATGATGGATTTCATCATGAAATGTATGTAAGTATTTTGGTCTCCCCCCACTCCTAGAAATCTTCTTCTTCCTAAGTAGTTCCTAGAGGGGGCTTTCTTTTTTCCTTTGTTTTCAAGACAGGTTTTCTCTGTGGAGCCTGTCCTGGAACTTGATTTGTAGACCAGGCTGACCTGGAACTCACAGAGATCCACCTGCCTCTGCCTCCTGAGTATTGGGATTAATGGCGTGTGCCACCGCTGCCTGGCCTAGTGGGTAGCTTTATAGTAATTTAATGGTTTATAAATATGTCTATTCTTTGCTCAGGAGAGGATATGACCTTATCCCTTGCGATTCTTTTCTGCAAATACAACTCTGAGCAAAGGTCTGGGTACAAAGCATTCAGGATCTTGTTTTCTTGGCCTATCCAGCAAGAAACATCCTGAATGTTCGGGGCATACAGCAGATTGCTTTCTTTTTTGCATTGGTGTTTTGCCTGCCTGTATGTCTGTATGAGGACACCAGATCCCCTGGAACCAGAGTTACAGACAGTTGTGAGCTGCCTTGCAGGTGCTGGGGAATGAATCTTGGTCTTTTGGAAGAGCAGCCAGTGCTCTTAACAACTGAGCTATCTCTCCAGCCATTTTTTTTTCTTTTAAAAATGTTTTTCTTTTTATTTCTTTTTTATGTGTATGAGTGTTTTGCCTTAAGTGCACTACATGTATGCAGTACCTAGGGAGGCCAGAAAAGGGCATCAGACTCCCTTGAAATTGAAGTTATAGACTGCTATGTAGGTACTGGGAATTGAACCTGGGTCCTTTGCAAGATCAGCTGGTGCTCTTAACCACTGAGCCATCTCTTCAGCCCATAGATTGCTTTTTGTTTTGTTTTGTTTTGTTTTGTTTTGTTTTGTTTTGAGACAGGGTCTCACTATGAGGTCCCAGCTATCCTAGAACTCTCTATCTATGTCAGGCTGGCCTTGAACTCACAGAGATTGCCTGCCCTGCCTCCCAGTACTAGGATTAAGGGTGTGCACCACTATACCTAGCTCTAGATTGTTTCCTTAACAATATGGTTATTTGTCTATTGTCTGACTGTCCAACTAAAGATATATGAGCTCAGAGACTTTGCCACTTTGTATGTCCAACACATTCTAAAAGTGGTACATTGTAGTTGCTAATAAATACTTGTTGAATGCAAGAACTACCTTAACTCCATCCATCCATTCATTCTCATTAGCCACTCATTCATAAATACCAGATTGAATGCCTAAGCTTGGGAATACAGATACACCAGACATTATGTCAAACCTGTGATGGGAGGAGTCAAGAGTGACACTGCCCTTATTGTGACATCTGAGAGAGCCAAGGTCTCATTTCTTGACCAACCTAAATCCTTACTGTACACTAAACTTATCCCACTTAGAGAAGGAACTAAATGACTTCATGGAGCTGCTGTCCCCCACACAGGTAAGCACTTTGATTTTAATGGCATAGTGTTTCAAGGGACATTAACAGGTACCATGAAGATAGAAGTAAAGCAGGCAAGGGACTGATGCATGAGCAGAAGTTACTTGGGGCCAAGGAAGGCCTCTCTAGGAAGATGCTGGGACCCATTCCTGTCTCTTAGAGGGAGGAGCAGAGTAAAGGATTAAAGCTTTCATAGAAAAATATGAAATGAAGAGACCTCAGTGGGGAGTACTGCTGAAAACATGAGATCAAAGAGGACTGAGGCTGGAGCAGGTGGAGGAGGGTGAGGGGAGAAGATGAGGGCCAGTGGAAAGACTTGGATTTTGGTCTGGGCTTTCCAGCAAGTTCCAGGCTGAGACCCAGTCAATCAACAGGTGCCTGCCTCCAGCAAGGCCAAAGCTGGGTGTGGGGAACTCAGTCTCAGGGGTTCATCAGCCAAAACAGAAGCAGTGCTGACACAGAGAGTCACCAGGGAGCAGCAGCCGGGAGGCCCAGGTGAAGGTGCAAGCTAATCGTGCATTAGGTGTCCCGGGGGACCCATGAGCACCACACTTCATTGGAAAGATGATTGCTGGCTGAGGTGCCAAAGGAGAGCTGGTGCCTGTCAATGTGGCCAGTGGCATAGAAGATAGTTGTGTGTAGGCTCTATACTGTGATGAAGGGTCAGGACTGACAGGAAGGCTAGGCCGAGACCTCAAGTGTTTTAACTCATGAATACTTGCAGAGAGACCACTTGAAAGACCCCCGCCCTTAGCTTTCTCTTTTAAGTTTTCCCGCATGCAGCTGGCGAATACATCCTCTCCTGCACCCCCTGACCCTTGCAGTCTCAGGGGTTCATCAGCCAAAACAGAAGCAGTGCTGACACAGAGAGTCACCAGGGAGCAGCAGCCGGGAGGCCCAGGTGAAGGTGCAAGCTAATCGTGCATTAGGTGTCCCGGGGGACCCATGAGCACCAC